TCAGAAATTGTCAAACATTTGATTATTGTAATAAGATATGCCACGACTAACTAATGAACAATTACAAATGGTTCTCAGAATGAGAGATGGTGGTTTGAATGTTGAAGACATTGGACAGTATTTCGATACACCAAGAGCTTCAATATACAGGGCAATCCGTCGTCACGATCGAACAGGAGATCCTAATTATCGTCACGGAGGTGGACGACAACGGATAAGACTTCAGATAGAAATGATAATTTCTTAGTTACTTCGGTACGTCGTCTTCGAACACAGACTGCTGGACAACTGAACTGTGCACTAAGAAATGCAACAGGAGTTGTTGTCTCAGATGAGACAATCAGAAGAAGGCTTCATGAGCGCAATCTGAGAGCGAGAAGGAGGGCATCTTGTACTTTGTTAAAGCTGAACCACAGGATAGCTCGAAGACTTTGGGCTCAGAACCATTTGAACTGGGGAATAGCTGATTGGAGGAGGTGTAATATGTTCAGATCAGATGGAAGGATTTTAGTATGGCGAGAACGGGGTGAGAGGTTTCTGGAGGAAAACATGGAGGCGCGGGTGGCATTTGGGGGTGGGGGTGTTACGATATGGGGCGGTATCATGATGAATCATCGCACCACGTTGGTTATTTTGAGGGAAAGTATGAATGCTGTTCGATATCGTGACATGTGTATGAGAGATGTTGTTATACCAGTTGCTCAAAACTTTGGAGACAATTTCGTACTGGTCGATGATAATGCACGACCACATCGTGCAAGAATTGTAATTGAAGTTCTGAGACAACATAATATTGAAAGAATGGAATGGCCACCCGTATCTCCAGACATGAACCCGATAGAACATGTATGGGCTAGGTTGAAATTATGTTTGAAGAGAAGAGAAGGTGAAATGATGAATATTCAACAACTGGAAGATGCGATAGTGAAAGAATGGACTGCTATTCCCCAAGATTTCATTGATGGCTTGATAACAAGTATGCCGAGAAGAGTTAGGGCTCTCGCAGCGGCCAGGGGTGGTGTAACAAAATATTGATAATCGACCACATCTGCCGTTGTTAATTTTTCTTTATTAAAAAAATATTGTGTTACGAATTATCTATATTCTCTTCGTGGTATATGTTCATCAATTCTCATTCTCTATATCCACTGAAAAAAAACATCCTAGCTTTGACAATTTCATTCATAAAATAACCACACTCCACATTCACTTTATTCCTCCCTGCGAACTAACCCTGAAGGTTTTTCGTTCAATCACGAAGCAAAATAAAGTTTGAGCGATATTTAATGTAGTCCCACCCTGTATTATACACTCCTGAATGAAACTTTGAAATGATTTTATTTTCATCACATTAGGCATGGAAAGTTCAGTTCTTGAACCAAATTGCATCATTTTATCACGTGGCGTTTCGGAAATATTCAAGAAATATCATCTTCAGGATCCCCCTCTCAAGGGACCGTAGCTCCCTTAGGAGTCATTTCTCTGCTCATGTTCATTGGATTATTTTTTTCTATTTTTGGTCGAAGCAGAAGCCGTTGGTACAGTTTGACAGGCTAATTTTGGGACACATTGTATACTTACAGTCTCACATCCATACCCATTGAATAACCCAACATTTTCGAACAAAAACAATCATAATCAACTCACATGTGGTGACATAATGAGGTATTCAGTATACCCACTTACTTATTTGCAGGAAGCAAGCACTTCTTCTCAACCCTTGATAACTCGCGCTGGTGTATTTTGTACACCAGCGCCAAATTTCTTGCTACCATCGAACGAAGAATTTTTTTTGGCTCTAGACTCCCACCTAACCTATGTCTAACATGTCTGGGATGTGATAGATCAGTTTTGTGTGTGTGTTGCTGTGTTTGTACGTTAATTTTGACGCGTTGTCACGTTGGTGCCCGTTGGTGCCTAGAATACAATACACTGCGTGGGAAATAGGGTAAATTATCTGAGTATTCAATATTGTATACAAACACGTTAGTTGTGTATTATGTGGACGCACTAAAAACAGAGTGACTTTTTTTTTTTAATTGTATTTCCTCGTTGGACCCAGCACTGGATCCAACGCCTCATAAGTCGAAACTTGTGCGGGGTTAGGAAAGCAGTCGTTCTTGTTTCACCTAAAAACAAGTCAAATTCATGGTGATGTACAAAATACACCACGCGGGAAAAAGTTCGAATTAATTAGCGCGAGTAATCAAGGGTTAAAATCGATGATTGGGTCAGTGTCGATAACTGGCACTTTTACCTTGTTGATAATCAACAAATGAATCACAAAAACCCCCCCATGCTCAAATGTGATGAAGAATCCGTCCTGAAAATGAATAAGGAGAGTGGACAATTTCAAAAGTAACTATGTACTATTATTCGTGGTGCAGTTTTGACACGGCATCATCTTATTCACCGAGTATAAGTCTCTTCCTACTGAGGGTAAAAGTTGATTATCGATTATAGTTGCAGAAGTATATAATATTACGAGGTTACCTATAAAAATTGCAATAGTTCATTATTTTATAGAAAAAGAGCCCGAGTCCGAAGGAGGAGGAAGTATTAGATAACACCCTTGAATGCAGAATTATCTGGTAATTTCCATGCACGAATGTAATTTGTTGAGATATTTCACGCATGAAGGAATTATCGAAGAAATTTTGTTTTTTTTTTGTATGGAGTATTCACCAAAACGCGAGAATTTTTTAACTTTTAAACGTGTATATCTGACATTCATTCGTATATTGTTCACTGGCGTCCAGCGACACCGTTTCAAATGTGTTGTTATGACGACGAGGAACTTTCGCAGTACAATCTTGACTCTGTAGTGCAATTACCCCTGTAATTTTTCGATAATTGCATTGCTCTCATGAGTGATTTCGTATATAAGGAAAAAATGCATCTCAAGCTTCCACATTATATATAGAATATTCCATCTCGATGAAGCGAAATTTGAATACTAAAAGTTTTTTTTTGTCAGGCAATATATTGAGTATACAGAGTGAGTCAAAATGTGTACCGAGCTCTCTGGAGTATATAGTTCATTGAAAAATGGGTATAATTCGATAGATGAACTAATGGCCCAAAATGTATATTGAGGGAGATGAAAGTCGATAAAATTGAAATAATTTTTCTGCATAACTGCTAAACGGTAGAAGCCACCAGATTGAAATATCCTGCATGAATGTATGTTGAGAAATACATTTTTTTTAGCGAACAGGGTGAATAGAGAATCTACCACTGTCGCTTGGGACGTATACTCCGTAAGAAACAGCTAAATCCCTCCAGCCTGACTAGCTGATCTTCTTAGGCTCTTATCTCAGCTTCTCAGAATACCCTTCAAAGTGAAACGATCACAGGTTTCCATATATCAGGGAATTTCATTCCAATTTTCTGGAGAAACGAATGGGCAATAAGAATACATTCAACGCCAGTACAACACAAATTCTCTTACCTCGATAAAATATGCATCATGTTCGGCAGTTCTCTCAAGGAGGCAATAGGAGAGCTCTTATGGTCAGGATAACTCGCAAAACAAAAAAGGCACTAACATAAGGCGTTTTCGGAAACTTACTCGGGTTGATCAGATCCCTAACCTGAACGTTCGGTTACCTAAACCGAGTCACCTACCTCTGTTCGGAAACTTGAGTCATGCTAACTCGATCACTGACTCTGGTTGATTTTTCGTGACCTTACTCAAAAGCAGGGTCGCAAAGGACACCGCATGCGCATTACCAATATATGGAGGTGTCAATCGGAAAACGCGAGAGTTTACCACTCCACGACAATTACAATAGTTTGCATGTTGGGAGAAGTTTCGATCGGTGATATCAATTTTCTTGATTTAGTAATGCATAGGGTAAAGAATCTGTGTGGATGTGAAGTTTGTGGTGTTCAAGGTTTCCAATCACTATAGGTGAACACAAATATTAATAATCATATCAAATAAGTACTTGAATATAATGTGAACATTTTCGTTAATCAAATTCACGAAACCACAGAAATAATGTTAAATTCTGTGTTCCTAACCTGACACGTTCGAAAAGTAGAGCTCGAATAGGTGATTCGAGCTTTTTGTCACGTGACCTCAACTTTCATGCTAGCTGAAAGTCTATCTTTTCCTGAATCAGCAGTTTCAAATTCCATTACCATCCAACGATGTTCTCGTTTATAGTTTTTGGCAATGACATACTCATTGAATATTTATTGTTTGTTGGTGCTCTATAGACTTGTGTTTTTTATTCGAAAAAGTGCCCATCCTGACAATATGAAGGGTGTCTTCAGAGGGTGGGTCATGATTTCACGAAGACAACTTTTTTTCCGTATTCTTCTTTGTGAAAAAATAGAAGCATTCGATATATCAAAAATATTACCATAAGAACGGTACTCTTATCAATTCACAAAAACTGTAATCGTTTTCGAGTTTCACGCATCTTTGCACAATACTCATAATTTTCCAAGAATTTGAAACGCGTCGAGCAGAAAACATCTCGGCATAAAGAATAACCTGTATTTTTTTCAATCTCTGTTGAAAATCGCATTGATGATATTACTAAGCAAATCAAGAAAGGATTTCTTGATAACAAGGTTCATGTCATGAGAGTGAATATTAGGAACAAAATTGATCATGGCTTCCTAGAATATTGTTTCCGATAAAATAATCTGCAGTGTCCAAGCTATCGTTCAGGCTGTTTGTTTACGTTAGTGTTCCGTATTGTTAGGCATTTTACTGAATGCAAATGCTACTAAGTGCGTTCTGAATCAGTTAAATATGATCTAGAATATGAACATCAAGTGATCAGGTCAGTGAATGCAACAATTTTTGTGAAGTTATTGTTGTAATCAGTGATTTTGTTGGGAAATTTGCATCCTAACAATTCCCAAGGAAGTACCACCTAGAGAGCCACCTGTTGATCGTCAGTTGTAAATTCCTGATAGTTGATTCCCTACTTGGGTAGGTACCCACAATTTTTATTTGGTGACCGACCTGCTTAATCAGTAGAATGGGCGATGATGGTAAAGGAATCTCGCTAGATGATGTTTATAGACTTCTAAGTATTAAGTTAGATGGCGTAGACAATAATGTTGAGGAATTAGGTAGTAAACTTGATAAAGAAGTGCTCGTCTTGAAAAATAAAATTCGTGAAGTTGAAGAGACCAACAGGGATCTACAAAAACGTCTAGATACTGCAGAGCGCAAACTGAAATATAAAAATCTGATATTTTTTGGTATCAATGAGCAACAATTTGAGACTGATGAACATATCCTACAATCAATTAAGACAATAATTATTGATAATTTGGGCATACAAAATTTTTATGTTTCATCTGAGATCGCCAATGCTTATCGATTAGGAAGAAAAACAGTCAAATCGAGGCCACTCTTAGTGGAATTTGTATCGAACTTCACAAAAAAAGTGGTAGTTTCAAAAAGGAGTCAGTTAAAAGGAAGGAAAATTTTCATTGCCGAAGACTTGACTGAAAAGGAAAGAATAGAAAGAAAAATTCTAGTTGAAGCAGTCAAAAGGGCGAGATCTAATAGAATAAATGCCTTCTTAAGAGGCAATAAACTGGTGGTCAACGGGGAAGTTTTCAGCTACGATGATGTTTTGGAGAATAAACACTCGTCTTATTATTCTCCGCCTGCCCCCTCCCAAGCAGCAAGTGTACCCAGCAACCCTTCTATCCAAAGTTTGCCATGTTTTCCCGGAGATTAAAAATTTCGAATCTGTAAATGAAGTTGCACATAAAAATAATTCCAAAGACGAAATTCAACCACCTTCGATGCACGTGAACTGTAAGAAAGGTCACAAAAATATATCTGTCGAATCGGATAACTACATCAAAGCTGCAGAAACATCGAATTCAGAAACTCTAGCCTCTACGAAACCACTATCAGTGCAACCAACTACAAAGTCAAAGAAAAACCAAGTCGCACAAGCTACAAGAACATCTTCGCGAAACCGACTAGGAAGTATAAGCAATAACTCAAGTAATTCCTGAAGTTACTTAACAATTGAAGGGCAGAGTGTGGAACATTTGTACTGTAGTTCAGTATTTTTTTTTTCAATTTCAGTTTAGATATGAGTATCACTATTATTATTGAGAATTATTCCTAGGTATTCAATCTCGTGACCATGAAAATAGGTCATTTGAACGTACGCTCGTTATGTACGGGCTTCGATGAGTTTGTAAATCTTGTTCTGTTAAAAACTAGATCAAAATCCAACTATTACTGCAACAATAACTCTTGCTAGACCGATACATAGATGCTTGACATCTCAACCGTTTTTTACCTATTTATATGGTGCTTTTTGTTGTTGTTGTTCGATCCGTTGCTTGAAGTTGAACAAAGTTATCTTTTTGTAATTTTTTTCTTGACAATTTTTTTTCTCTCATTACTTGATGTTTTTTACAGCTCTTTACATTTAGTAAGAGGTATAGTTATCAGTGATTATATATATGATGAATAATTTGAATATTTCACGATACTATTGTTCATAGTCTGTTGGTAGTCATTCCAGGACATTCCTGGATGGACACACTATGTTAATGCTTTATTAAGGTTTAAGTGTAAGAATAGCGTTCGCTAAACTTCGCCTTTCTAAAGTCAATGTACTATCATGTTCTTCATGAATAAAGACGATTATTATTATTATTATTATTATTATAACATGTGACAAAAACTCGAATATCTCGAAAATATTCACAATTTTCGTACTTTGATAGGTGTACCGTTGTCATGTGATTGTTTTCGCTTTATCAAATGCTCCTCATATTTGACCAAAAGGAATACGAAGAACAAAGTTATCTTGAAAAATAATGACCCACCCTCTGAAAATACTATCTCAATCTGGTGGCTTTCACCTCTCAGAAGTCATACAGAAAAGTTATCTCAATTTTTATAAATTTTTCAAGGATATATCTCCCTCAATATACATTTTGGACCATTATTTCTTTCATAAAACTATACTTATTTTTTAATATACTATCACCTTCAGAAAGCTCGGTGAAAATTCTTGACTCAACCTATACAAAACTGGTAGTACTGATTGATTTTATGCTTTTCAAATTCCTTCTCTTGTGACACAATTTTGCAATTTGTCATGATTCGAATGAATTGGTTTCCTCAACAAATATCATCTGCTGATCGATATTTATGGTGCATGTTTATACCAATTCAGAAATCGCAACAAAAGATCCATCAATCGTCATTCAACCAGAAAATTAAATAGACGACAAGGGAATATGGGAATTGATATGAGAAACGTGTCACAAACATACAAGAGAAAACATGTCTCTAGAGAAGAGTCGTTTGTTGGCTCTTACGTGATGAGAATAGGGGCAGCATGCATTGCATTCTCTCGTAATATCCATTCCCTTATTGGGTTCTAGTTGAACGAACTGTTGACCCTTCGGGAGTTCATTCTATTCCATATTCAAATTCAGTAAAGGGACCTACGTCAATGAGAAGTAGAGGAGTAATTAACATTTCATCCCTTTCCTCTTATATGATATATAATATACAGGGTGTTCCTCAATGACATGCTGATATTCAAAGAAGCGATTCTTGAACCCATTTCAAGAATAAAACTTTATATGAACGTATGTCGTGAAATAACTAACTTTTCCACTTGTCCACCCTGTACAGCTTATTCTGATGGAAAAATGTATTCTGTTTTGTGACTGAAACGGTGCAAAAGTTTGAAAATGTTACATTCTGTGGTTATCCAGTAATAGATGTCCTGAATGATGAAGTACTCAGCTTAGCATTTACATCAAAATTCGAAGTTTGATCTATTTTTCTCGTTTTTCCTCGAGAATAGAACGTCCAATCGGGTATCAACAGAAAGATTTTTTTGTACTGAATTGAATGACTTTTCATAAAGTATAATATAATCAATCATGTACCCCTAACGGCGCCACTAGTAGGGAAAAGAAAAATTTGTGTACATAAAAAAATACACCTTGATGCATAGAAGATATGATCTAATCGATTGAAAAATTATTGAAAACTTGTAAGGATCTTCATTCTGCTGTACAGGTCCTTACTTTGACGCTCTGTTCAGGACAGGAGACTACTCTGGTATTTGACAGGGGGGGGATTTTCGGGCGCCAGATTGTTTTTGAGGTAGTTTACTCTACCTGCTCTGCACAAAATATTTCTTGTACAGCGGCCCGAAGTAGCAACAGTGGAGAAAGGTACAGGAGGTATACCTACCTCGGTACTTACAGTATAAACCAGAGGGGTCAATGGTATTGAATCGACCTGGAATCAATAAGTAGCCAAGGGAGTGTAGGCTTTAATTACAAACCCTGGGTTTGGCATGGAATACTGGTTGCTATTTCTAGTCGGTATCATTACAGGAATCAAAACAAATTATCTTTCAGGTCTCTGGTATTTCAGGGTTAGATCTGTAAAATTATTTATTTCATCAAACTATTTCATCATTTCTACCTGGAGAATCGAAAACACAGTTCCAAACGAATCAAACAGATTCAATTCCTATTTATCTTTCCATTTCCTTCGATTTTTCTAATTTTCCAATATCGGAGTTTTAGTGAGGTTGATTAATAATATTTTTCCATTCATGTCGATAGTTCATGAAACATTTATCACCGCCTGACGGGACACAAAGCACAGGGACCCGGATGCACAGGACAGGATTTCTCGAGGAAAAGAAGCAGAAGAATTGTTAACTGGCTTGTCAGTGTCAGTCGTCAGTCAATAATGATAATTTGCAATTTTGACAAATTAAGATATTGAAAATCAGTAAATGAATTATTGAAACTATTCGGAACTGAAAACAATGACAATTTGACAATAGAAAAATAAATCTGAAATATGCAATCACAAAATCCGTCTATTCGAAAATTCAAAGTTCTGGATTCTTTACACAGGTCGGGTGAGTATATCGGTATGCAAAACAACAGGAATGAAATGAATCTATGAACAGGATGAATAACAATGGTGAAAAATATACAAACTTACATGCGTAACACGAAGTCACTATACAATAATACTTTACACTGGTTCTGAATGAACTATAAGAGCACTAGGAGATCAGCAAGAGGATCAGGAGCTTGAAGAGCAGGTCGAGCAGGTAGTGCAGACTTGTAGAGAAGAGTAGAAAGACCCGAATCCTTGGCTATCTCCAGTATTTATGCACTGCTTTGGCCTTGGCACAAGGACAAGTAAATCTGGAATCTCATTGGTCAAAACCCCCACCTTGTCAGGGCTCATGGCCATGGCCACTAAATATGTCCTTGGAAAGCACATGTGCACCTCTAACACAAAACGCGGAAAAAATAATATTCAACCCTAATAATGATAATAATAATCATTTATTTCCTTAAGACAGTTACAAACCATATGGAAAAAGTCAGTTGCTCACATTCAACATGTGTATACACTCGTAAATTCACAATACAACAATTAAAATAAATTTATTTCACCGCCAATTGCCATGACAAATATTCATCCAGCTTATAAAAACTCTGTTCTGTCAAAAAGGATTTCAAATAATGTTTGAATGATTGCTTTGTTAAACAGTTTTTCACATTTGAAGGAAGAGCATTGTATATTCTAGGAGCCATATGACTAGGAGATTGGTGAGTTATTTTGAATTTTCCAAATGGAGTTGAAAAATCATTCTTTTGTCTTGTATTGAAACCATGATTTTGTTTGTTTCTCACATATATTCCATCGTTATTGTCGAATACTAGCATACTCAACTCTGATATGACTAGACATGGTAATGTTAATATTTTCAGTTTCTTGAATATATCTTTGCATTAATCGATCTGTGAAAGCCCCGTCATTGGTCGTAAAATTCGCTTTTGTGCCACGAATATATCTTTTGCTAGGGTAGATAAACCCAAAAATATCACACCGTATCGTAGCCTACTCTCAACTTGTGCATAGTAGAGCTGTATCAATTGATCAACATCGAGTACATGCCGCAAATTTCTAAATTGAAAGGCAATCGAGTTCAACTTTGAGATTAGGTAGTGGGAGTGAGCTTTCCAATTGAGATTTTTATCTATTCGCAATCCTAAGAAAATTGTTTGATCCGAACTAGTTGAGATCGATGGACCCGAATCGTTTGATTGGAATGACAACTCATTACATTCTTTTTGGATATGGTGAAACCTCAGTGTTTGCGTTTTCGAAGTATTAAGAAACAAATAATTTGCTGAGAACCATTCATTCAAAGAAATCAACACCTCATTGCATTTATCACGCAAGGAAGAGTCAATTTTTTCGGATATGACTAACGACGTATCATCAGCATACATTGTAAAGGATGCAGGTACAGAAAGTTTATCTAAGTCATTGATATAAAACAGGAACAGAATTGGCCCCAATATGGACCCCTGAGGGACACCAATGTCTGTTTCAGTTTGTTGTGAGAAATGATTATTGATTGCTACATATTGTGTACGTTTGAGTATGAATGATTTTATCCAATCTAGAGGGCAGCCTCTAATTCCATGCTTATACAGCTTTTCCAGTAGTATGTCGTGATTGATACAGTCAAATGCCCTGCTTAGGTCACAGAAGATTCCAACAGGGCATTCTCCTGCCTCAATATATTCTTTTATTTTTTGATAATAAGAAAACACCGCTGTCTTCGTAGATTTTTTGTTCAAATATCCATGTTGGTTTCTCGAAATTATATCATATTCTTTACAGAATGTCATTAATCTATCTAAAAAACAATACTCGAATACTTTAGAAAATGTTGATGGTACTGTGACTGGTCTGTAATTTTCGAGGCTCTGACGACAGTTCTTTTTATACACAGGTGTTATCTTTCCACATTTCAGCAATTCTGGAAAACTGCCAGAAGACAATGAGAGATTTACCATAAAAGTAAGAGGTACAATAAGTTCTGATAGGCACTTTTTCAATATAATTGTAGGTACCTCATCTGATCCTGAAGAAAATTTATTTTTTAATTTTGATTTAAGTAACTGG